GAGTACTTACACTTCCTGTTTTCAAAACTTACTGCAAAGCTATACTAATCAAAACGAGTGATACTGGCATAAGCACAGGCATACAGATCAATGGAACAGAACTTCGACCTCAGAAAGAATCCCATACATCTATGGTTTAACTGCTTTTCAACAAGGCACCAAGACCACTCAGTAGGGAAAGAATTGTCTTTTCAACATATAGTGCTTGAGCAACTAGAGAGTCACATGGAAAATAACGTACTTGGACTCTTACCTCATATTATATTTAAAAATTAACTAAAAATGGATGGAAGACTGAAACATAAGACCTAGAATTCTTAGAAGAAAGTAGAGGGGGGCAATTAGGCAGGCTGAGGCAGGAAGATAAGTTTAACACCAGCCTCAGCAACTGAGGCCCTAAGCAACTTAGTGAGACTCTGTCTCAAAATAAAAATAAAAAAGACTGGAGATGTGGCCCAATGGTAAAGCAACTCTAGGTTTAATCCTCAGTACCAAAAAATAAAAGAAGAAGAAGAAGGAGGAGAAGGAAGAAGAGGGGGAGAAGGAGGAGGAGGAGGAGAAGAAGAAGGAAGAATAGGTGGAAAGTTTTGTTGACCCTGGATTTAGCAATTATTTCTTGGATATGGCACTAAAATCATGGTTATCAAAAGAAAAAATAGTCAAACTGAACTCTATGAAAATGTAAAATTTTTGTTCACCAAAAGATAACATCAACAATGTGAAAAGACATCACAGAATGGAAGAAAATACTTGTAAATCATATATCTGATAAAGGTTTAATATCCATACATATAAAGATCTCCTATAGTCGGGCGTGGTGGCACACGCTTGAAACAGGTGGCTCTGGAGGCTGAGGCAGGAGGATAATAAGGTCAAAGCCAGCCTCAGCAAAAGCGAGGTGCTAAGCAATTCAGTGAGCCCCTGTCTCTAAATAAAAATACAAAATAGGGCTGAGGATGGATGTGGCTTAGTGGTTGAGTGCCCCTGAGTTTAATCCCCAGTACCCCTCCCCCCCAAAGAAAATCTCCTATAAACTCAACAACAACAAAACAAACAATCCAATATAAAAGTAGGCAAAGGATTTGAGCAGACATTTCTCTCAAATTTAAGGGGAGATAACCAATAACACATGAAAACATATTCTACAATCATGAATACTTCATATCATTAAGATGTCTATTATCAAAAAACAAAAGCCACATACACACATAATAAAAAATATATGGAGGTGAAGACATGAGGAAATTGGAGCCCGTGTGTACCATTGGTGAGAATATAAAGTAGTGTAGCTGCTATGAAGAACAGTATGGTGGTTTCCCCCCAAAATTAAAATGGATCATCATATGATCCAGCAATTCCCTTTCTAAGTATATACCCCAATGAAAATTAAAAGCAATGTCTCAAATGGACTTGAACACCTATGTATATGGCAGCAAATTCACAATAGCCACAAGGCAAAAATAACCTAAATGTTCATCTGCAGATAAGTGAATAAACACCATCTGGAACATACATATAGTGGAATGTTCAGCTTTGAAAGGAACAAAAATCAATATTACAACATTCCAGTGTGGATGAACCTTGCTGACATTATGCTAAGCAAAATCAGCTAACACAAAAAGACAAATATTGATGACTCTACAAATGTAAGATACCTAGAGTAGTCAAATTCACAGACTCAGAAAGTGGAATGGTGCTTTCCAAGGGCTGCGGGCAGGAAAGGATAAGAAGTTATTGTTTAATGGGTAGAGAGTCTTGGAGACTCTCTGGAGACAGGTGGTTGTGATGATCACACAACAATGTGAATGTACATAATGCCACTGAACTCAACGCTTAAAAATAACTAACGTGGCATTGCCATTTTGTGCCATGCATATTTTATATACCTAAAGGCTACTATCATGACCTCACAGAATAATAATCTCCAGAGAAAACACATTTATTTCCTTCAACTCTTTCTCATGTCACATGAATGAAGTTCATTCATACCTCATTGTGTTCACTCTGAATGCTCTCTAGCTACCTGTAGCCTCATTTACCCTATAGATTATAAACTGCAGTATGACACTGACTGGTATCACCTTCCTCAATGTGATACCTAGACTGTCAATAATGGAGCCAGTGTTTCTTCTAGTTTATTAAAACATCACTAATTCTTATGGAGCTAACTATCCAACTAAAACCATAAGTTCCTTTCTAATGTGCCACCACTAAAACCTCTTATTGGTTGGAACTCTCTCAGTGACTAAAAAGAAAACCAAAACATACACACAAGATCATGAAAATTGACTTCAGCAAAAAAATAATTGATTGGCACATGTAAATGTTCTAGAGATGATGCCAACGTAAGATGCAGCTTGATTCAGAAGTTTAAATTATGTCACCAGGTCTCGACTCTTTTCTTCTCTTGAGCCCTGTCTATTCATCTCCTTGTTTTAGTTTTCATTCTTCTTAGGCAGGCTTTCCATCCATAAAATGTCACCAAGTTGGTGGAACAAAGTTAGAGTATTGTTCCCAACAATAAGTCAAATATGTTTGCTTTTCGTGGACTCTAACTGGGTTACATCCCTGAATCAGTCTCTGCCCAAGATAATGCAAATATTGAGTGGCTTTGATTCAGGTCACATGTTTCGTCCCCTGAATCCAGTCAATCCAACTGAATTAGCCCATGGGCTGAATGTGGAACAGAGCTGGTCTTCAGAGAACAATCAGGTTCAGGTTAACAGCAGGGTGAGGGAAGCTTGAGCAACAAAACCCACAGGTTCAACCACCCTTCACTGTGTTTTGTGGACTGACATATGCTTATCCCTATTAAATATGATCTATCTAACTACTCTGGCAAGATATTTTGTGGATCCTGATTCTGCAAGGCAGCTCCACAGTGTGATGAATTTGCCTTTGCATGTGTTATTGCAATCAGTCATATGCAGGTGGTAAGTACATTAGCATATTTTATATAAGCACACATGATGTATAGACTCTGAAGACCCACAGTTCTAATGTCACCTTCAGCAGTTCCTTGGCCCACCATGACGATCTTCCTTCTGAGATGATGTTGCTAGCATCTTTGGATGTGCACATATAACCAGACACCAGGCCCATCTTTATCCTTAAGTCTGGGCCCTATTTCTTATACCCAAAGATATTGGGAGCCATGTTAATAAAAGGTCTAGACTCCTGGGAAAGTCTTTAATAATGAGTTAATGTTCTATGCAACATATAGATTCATTATTAGCATCATCAACAAGAGATCTTTTTCTCTACATGTCCCAGATTTTTCATCCTGTCTAAATAAGAGCCCTCACCCCTCAAAAAAAAGTAGCACTAGTGGTAGCAAAGTGCATACAGTGTTTACTAAAAGCTGGATCCTATTCTAAAAGCACATAGGATTAAATATTAACTCATTATCTTCCTCACTACACCCTGATGTGATAGGGAGTCGTCGTCATCATCATCATCATCTCCATTTTAAAGATAAGAAAACTAAGACCCAGGGAGGGTAACTGGACCACATTCACACAGGTAGTCAGTACAAGCAGAACTTGTATCTAAATTGGCTCCAGAATTCTCACACTTACCACAAAAGTGGTCCTCAGCCTGAACACCCCTCACCTCCCACTTCCAGCCCCCACACAAATGTACAGGTGAGTCCACTTTTGGAAAAAAAAATACCATGGAAAAATTAGAGCACTACCACCATACTTTACAAAACAGTGAATCATTTTCAATAACAAGTTGCTCCTGGTACAGGTTAACTGGTTAAAAATCATTAATGAATTCTTAGAAATACTGGGACAGAAACCCAAACCAAAGGTTAGAAACCCTGCCAACTAAAGATCAATTCAAACTGAAAAGCATCTCTGGTATAATGTCCACATTAGGAGAAAAATACAACTTAGAAAAAAAACAAACCACCTTTAATTTCACTCCAATGTTTTCTTCAGACAATGGCTGTGCTTGAGGGGAAAAACACGCCTGGGAGAGAGTGCATAGGGGAGCTCAGCATAGCTTCTCACTAGGGGTCTCCTTATTAGAAAAGCTTGCTTCCCAGACCTTCCTGTGCTCCCTGGGGTCAGGCGACCCATGATTCTATTGTCACCTTTGTATTCATTGGTTCAATCATGCACAACAGTATAATACAGGTGGTGACTCAACTCAAAGGAGATGCATACCACTCTATTTCTTCTGGAACAACCATCTCATGAAACTCCAGGGATGACAGGAAGGGCCTTTCATGAAGGTACAGCACTCAGAGATGAAACAGGGTTCCAAGGAAATGCGCCAAAAGTGAACAGGTGGATACCAGCAGGAAGCCGTTACCTAGGTCACAGCTGAAGGAGAATGAGAAGGGATGGTTGTCATGGAGCCCAGAGAGAGCTGGCTCTGCAGAGGAAGAACTCCTGGCAGGAGGGACACTGCTACTGCGAGGCACTGGACTGGGCAGAGGGGAGAATTGCCCTATCTCTCTGTCTCTTCTTCCATCCCCGCCCGTCTCCCGCCAGTGCCTCCCCTGGACAAGCCAGAGGGTGAGAGGTCTGGGGATAGTCAGTCCTCGGGATGCAGAGCCAGACAGGGAAGCATTCTGAGTGCATCTAAAAGACAGAGGATGAGAAGCACAATGCCTCTCTCAAAGGTGGGTAAACTGAGTCACTGAGTAGCCAAGTAACATGCTTCAGATCAAAAATGAAACACAGAGCCAAGATGAGGGCCCCCTTCCCCCTCTGGTCTTCACTGATTTTGAGAAACCCGAATGCCTGGAAAGAACCACAAAATCTCAAAGAACGTCGAATCCCTCAGTTTCCTTTCCAACATACAGTGGTGTTACACTAGCCCACCCTCCTCCAGAAGTGGTAAAGGTGCAGTGATCGGGATGACTCAGCTGCCTGCCCAGATTCACTAGAGAGGTTTAATGAATCACTCGTGTGGGTGATGATTTAGGTGGTTATTCTTTGAACAAACTCACTCCACTCACTAACAGGGTGTCTGTTTGATTCATAAAGGTGACTCATCTGAAGAAGTTGACCTGACCATGGTCTATCAGGCAGCATCTAACGGAGATGTCAATGCTCTGACCTCGGTGATCCGGGAAGACCCCTCGATCCTAGAATGCTGTGATAGCGAAGGTGAGATCTTTACACACTTTAAATCTAGGCTGTTATGTTTTATCCTTTTGAGATGATGTTTTGAGATGATTATGATTTTTAAAATTACTTGTGACAGTACACTTTGGTACTGCAGGATATATTTATTACCTGTGGCTATGTGCAAATACTGCAATATTTCTTTTAAAAAAAAAAGGTGTTAGAAAGCTTCAAATTCTTTTACATCATCACTCAGAATAAAGTCAGCTCGTTTATTTCCTTTATCTTCATATGAGTGAGCAAAGCAGAGAGGCCAGGCTGTTCTAACAGGGTCATGGAGAGAGTAGGTTACCTTTCGTGGCAATGGATGTTGGAAAAGTGTAACTCTTAGAGAGCAAGGACTTGGGCTTCTGGGAAGAGGGAGTGAATGTGCTTTTCCCTCTATCCTTTCTGGTAAGTACAACTAAAGACGCTGGACATTATAAAATTGTATAAAATCAACATAAGAAAACTCTGGAAGATGGAGAGAAAATGACAGACTGGCTAAGACCTTGGAGCCCAAGGAATGACATAGTGGTAAGTACTCTGGGTTTCCTTTTGCCTGGTACATTCCAGAGTTGGAGGTGAAGAAACTGGCAACCCAGAAATGTCAACAGACACAGACAAAAATGTCCCAACCAAAAATTTGCATTTTCTAGCCAAACCACCAGGAAAGAAACAGCTTAGCAAGACAGAAAACTTTTTAGACAATGATGGTTCTATTACAGCCATCACCACCCCCGCCACACACACCCACTGTGACCCCAGGCAACTTACTCTAGCAACGACCTAGTGGGGAGCCTGCACCTCCACTCCCACCTGGCATTCAGGTCCCCCTTCTCTTACCTGCAGTATGATGTCAGAGGGAGGCCTTGCTGAAAGTTAGGACCTCGAACAGCACCCAGTAATAACCAAGAGTCCTCTTCAGATTTCAATGGAAGCCAAGCAGGGAATCTGGGTTTATAATCCCACTTTGCCATAAGGAGATGTCACCCCCTTTTCTTCCTTTCTTTGAACAGTGTCTAAGGAAGCCTGCTAAAATAGAGTAAATCAAGAATCACATAATATCCAATAGACCAATATATGTAAATTATTTGTCCTACGAAGAAACAGGAAGATCTCAAATCAAATGAACAATCAATAAATGCCAATAAATCAAACAATGTTAAGAGGGAACTTTATATACTAAAACAGATACATATGTTAGAAAAGAGAGGAAACCTCAATCATTAATTAATCTAAGCTCTCCCCACCACAAGAGCTTAGAAAAAGAAGAGCAAAATGGTTTAACCCCAAAACAAGCAGAAGGAAAAAATAATAAAGAGAAAAGCTGAAACTGAAAACAGAAAAACAGAGAAAATCAGTAAAATAAAGGACTGATTCTTTGAAAGATAAAGTTGACAGACTTCTAGCAATACTGCCAAACAAAAAGTGGAAGAAGATACAAATTACCACCTTCAGGAATGCAAAATCAGGAGATCACTGCAAACCCTGCCAGACGTCTAAATGGAAGAAGGAAATACAACAAAAATGTACACACATAAACTTGGCAATTTAGTTAAATGGATCAATTCCTCAAAAAACAACAAACTGGGTGGAAAAATGAAGATTGGATTTGATTAGTGCATGTTCTTTGCATGTTTGGAAATATCACACTGAGCCTCATTACTATGTACAATTAATATGTGCTAACAAAATTTTCACATAAATTGCTACAATGCAACCAGTAGAAAATTGGTGATTTGAATATTCCTTTGTAAACTCTTTAGGAAATTGAATTTACAATTTTTAATTTCCTCAAAAAGTATATCTTTAGGCCAAGATGGTCTTACTGGAGATATCTACAAACTTCTAAAGAACACTCTGCATCAATTCTACAGAATGGCTTCCAGAAAACAGAATAAGGGAACAATACAACTTGTCAGTTATATTTATGAGCTAATATTACCTTTGAATCAAAACTAGACAAAGACTCTATTTAAAAAATTCTACAGACCAATAGTTCTCATGAATGTGAATTCAAAACTCCTTAATAAAATCAGGGTAAACCAAATTCAGTAATATATGAGAAGAATTATACACAATGATGGGAAGATGGCAGAGTTCCTAGAGCTATAATCTGGCTCAATATTTATTTATTTATTCATTCTTTTTTTATTGGTTGTTCAAAACATTACAAAGCTCTTGACATATCATATTTCATACATTTGATTCAAGTGGGTTATGAACTTCATTTTTACCCCGTATACAGATTGCAGAATCACATCGGTTACACATCCACATTTTTACATATTGCCATACTAGTGACTGTTGTATTCTGCTATCTTTCCTATCCTCTACTATCCCCCCTCCCCTCCCCTCCCATCTTCTATCTCTACCCCATCTACTGTAATTCATTTCTCTCCCTTGATTTTTTTCCCTTTCCCCTCACATCCTCTTATATGTAATTTTGTATAACAATGAGGGTCTCCTTCCATTTCCATGCAATTTCCCTTCTGTCTCCCTTTCCCTCCCACCTCTTGTCCCTATTTAATGTTAATCTTTTTCTCATGCCCTTCCTCMCTGCTCTGTTTTTAGTTGCTCTCCTTAYATCAAAGAAGACATTTGGCATTTGTTTTTTAGGGATTGGCTAGCTTCACTTAGCATAATCTGCTCTAATGCCATCCATTTCCCTGCAAATTCCATGATTTTGTCATTTTTTAGTGCTGAGTAATACTCCATTGTGTATAAATGCCACATTTTTTAATCCATTCATCTATTGAAGGGCATCTAAATTGGTTCCACAGTCTAGCTATTGTGAATTGTGCTGCTATGAACATCGATGTAGCAGTATCCCTATAGTACACTCTTTTAAGGTCTTCAGGGAATAGTCCGAGAAGGGCAATAGCTGGGTCAAATGGTTGTTCCATTCCCAGCTTTCCCAGGAATCTCCATACTGATTTCCAAGTTGCTGGCTCAACATTTAAAAGTCATCGTAATCAACCAAGTTAACCAAATAAAGAAGAAAAAGCATGTATTCACTTCCATTGATACAGAAGAAGCTTTTGACAAAACTTAGTAACATTCATAATTTAAAATCTCAGAAAAATAGGAAGAGGTGAGAACTTTCTCAATATGATAAAGATTATCTACAAAGCCAGGTGTGGTTGAATGAGACTGTGTACCAGCTACTCAGGAGGCTGAGGTAGGAGGATAATGATTTCAAAGTTAGGGTGAGAAATATAGCAAGATCCTGTCTCTTATTTAAAAAAAAAAATCTACAAAAAACCCAGAGCTAATATTTTACTTTGTGGTAAAAGTCAAATGCTTTGATCCCAAAATCAAGAACAAGGCATAAATTTTCACCTCAGGCATGAATGTCCACTTTCACCTCTCATGTCCAGCCTAGTGCAATCAATACAAGCATAAAAAGGCAGTTCAAAAAGTTAATGAAGTGAAATAAAAGACACATACATTGAAAAGAAAAATGCAACCCTCATGTATTTGTGAGGTAATTTTTATATGTTCATTTGTTTGTGTTTTCTCTTTTGTGAATTGCTTGTATATATGTGTATGTGTCTGACTTTTTCTTCTCTTAGGTTGTTGAATTGTTGACTTGTTCTTTATTAACTTTAGCAAATAATCTTTTCTTGGTTTTATAAATTAAAATATCTTCTCCCAATATGTGGCCTTATCATTTTGTTAATGGCACCTTATATAGAAGGTATCAGAATTTTCTTATATGGAAATTTTAAATTTGAATATAATAGAATTTAATAAAATATTTCCTGGGCTGAAGCTGTGGCTCAGTGGTAGAGCACTTGCCTAGCCTGTGTGAGGCACTGGGTTTAATTCTCAGCACCACATATAAATAAATGAATAAAATAAAGGTCCATCAACGTCTAAAAAAGTATTTTCCTTGCAGTTTATGATTTTTACGTCTTCTTCAGTAAAGCCTTGCCAATCTTGAGGTTAGAAAGATAAGAATCTATATTTTCTTTTAGAAATTTGTTAAATTTTGCTTTTCATATTTGGTCTCTAATCCATCTGGACTATGTTAATATATGGTATGAAGTCTGGATTTTATTTTAACTTATCCCTCTGTATCACCAGGTGGTCAGCACCATTTATTAAATAACTTTTTTCTTTCTGATTTGTATTGTCTTTTAGTCACACACTGAGTTCCTTTGTAGGTTGGAATGTTCCTCGGGCTCACTTTTCTGCTCTGTTGATCTATTCATTGTTTCAGCAATCAAAACTTTATAATAATTCTTGTCAGTTAATAAGGCAATTTCCCTCCCTTTGTTTTACTATTAAATCCTGGGGATGGGGGGGAGGGGCTTTTGTTGTTGTTGTTGTTGTTGTAGTTACTTTACTCTTCGAGATAAATTTTAAGATTTTTTTTTTCAGGTTTCACAAAAGCTTAGTTGAATTTTTACTGCAATTGCACTAAATTTATAGGTTCAGTTTCATGAAATTGATATTGAGTTTTCCCTTTGTAAACATTGTATATCTTTCCATGTTTAGTTCTTCTTTTATATCATCTAATAAGTTTAATGATTTTGTCTACACATCTTGGTCTTCTTCTGTGAGATCTATTCCTAAGAACCTTATTTTGTTTTTGGTTGCTTGCTTTGTTAGTTTTCCCATTGCTTTTGTTTATAGGAATTCCTTTAATATGTTTTTAATTTTATATACAGCATCAATGATGTACTCTCTTATTTGTTCTATTTTGAGTTTGTATTTGTGTGTGTGTGTGTGTATTTTTGTATTATCAACAAGGACAGTCAGGAATGTCAACTTAAAATAAATTTTGGAGTCCATTTGGAAATGAATCTTCCATCCATTCTCTCTAAACCTCAGAGATAACTCAGTAAGATTATCTTAAAATAAGAAATGTTCCGTAATCATTCAGCTATTCATTTGTTAACATCTTCTATGCTCTAGGTGTAGTGGTTGGCTCCCAGGACCTAGTGATGAGCTCAAGGGATGAGGTTTCTTCCCTTTAGAACTTACAACTCAGAGGATAATTACCCCCAAAAAATGCATACTTACAAAGTGTTAAAAGAGTTATGAAAGAAAAATAAAGCATGATAAGAGCCTGTAACTTGGGATCTAGTTGGAGGGGTTCTTTAAGGAAATTTATATATAATCTAGGATCTCAAGATAGATAGAGCTGGGTGTGGTGGGACACACCTACAATCCCAGGAACTAGGAGGCTGAGGCAGGAGGTTCACAAGTTCAAGGCCAGTCCTGGCAACTTAGTGAGACCCTGATGCAACAAAAAATAAAAAGGACCAGAGATGTAGCTCAGTGGCAGAAAGCCCCTGGGTTTGATCCTCAATATTTGGGATAAAAATAAATAAATAAAAACGTTAGCTAGACAAGGAAAGTAATTTTTTGAAAATAATATTCAGGAATTCTTTAGTTTTATATACTGACTATTTCAGATTCAAAATGCTTCAATAATTTCCTTTTCAACATGTTCTTTTTTGACCCAGTCGTTATAACTACCACTTGTTGACAGGAACAAGGGAGGAAGGGAGGGAAGAAAGGAAACTCACTACTATTTTAAGACACAGCATTTCATTGCTGTTTCCACGCAGCACAGATGCCTGAAAGAGTTTGGAAGGGAGAGATTTAGGAAGAAACTGGGTTGCTGGATGCAATCTTTCTGTGAGAACATCCTGGGCTATTCCTGCCCTCGGGGATCTCTGAGGGTCAAAGCTTGCAGTTCATCCAGGGAAGAATCACAATTCACCATGAATCTTGTCAAAAGACATCTGAACAAGTCTGAGTTGGAGGAGTGCCTGTGTCTGGTGTTTGGTTTCTTCTTCGCTTAAAGGAATGTGAAGCACCTGGATTCCACCTCACTAGCTGGCTGGTTCCAACAGCCCTGCAAAGTTCATCACAATGTGGAATTTCATCTCTGTTTTTACTCAGGAAGAAAATATACTTAAAAATCAAATACTGTTGGCTATATTGGTTCTGAAAACAGAGAAGTATTCAGTACAAGTAGATCCTTTTAGTTAAAATTTCTATAACCTAAGGCTGAGATTCCATCACTACCTTCAATAGAAGTATACCTGGCTGAAGCTGCTTTCTACACATTTCCAGATTCTGCATTGTCCAAGCCAAGTCAGGATAAACCTGCCTATTTGATTCCAAATTATGTGGATCCCTGGAACAACAATAAGTAATTTTTCTCATTGTCCTCAAATGTTTTAATCAATTATGCAAAATTACAGAAGATTGGGGAAAAAAGTCAGAAAGAATAGTTTACATAAATGTAGCAATAATCCTCTTCATCTCTCTTCAATCCCACACAGTTCAACAGCTGGGTTTGTGTTACAAAGAGCAAAACAGAGAGGCAAATAAAATCTGCTCATTAATTTCATAAGTCGGACATTTTTAAAGGCCGTTGAAATGTCTTATTGCAGGATGTACACCCTTGATGCATGCGGTTTCTGGACGCCAAGTGGACACGGTGAAGCTGCTTCTGAAGATGGGAGCCAACATTAATATGCAGGATGCTTATGGCCGTACAAGTTTATGCCTGGCAACCTACCTGGTATGGACTCGAGTGGGTTAAAGGGGCTGAGGAACAGGGTGTGGATTAATGCAATAGAACTTGAAGCTTTACCTTAATCATCTTCAACATGGATATCACCACTTTGAGTTCTTTCATGGATTTAATTCATTGAGGATCCTCCAAATGTTAAGTAAAAAGGAATGTTATAGAAGTAATGTCACCGCTTGAGAACATTCCTTTCTGTTTTCACAATATCAGAATCTCTCTTGGGACATTCTGGACACTTCTAAGAACAGGGTCCATAAACAACCCAGAAAAGGTGGTATTGTTTTGAAGATCCAGTTAGCATCTGTGGGGTAGGATTAGTTGAGTGGAGGCTCCAGGCTAAGGAATGTGAGAACTGGGATGAATGAGGGAGTAGCAAGCAGGGGGTGTACCAGACTTATAAGGGGCAACACAGAGTTCACAGTCAAGTTAGAGGCTGTGTGATGCCAATTTGAGAGATTTCCGTTCAGCATTTCCCAACATTAGAGCAAGCTTGGTTAAGACTCAATGAAAATCTCCAAACCCTCTCCTCTCAAATCCTCCCTGTGGTTCTTCTGGGAGGCCCCAGGGCTGACCTAAGTCCATGTCAAACAAGTTCTCATCACCATGCAGGGGATATCATTCTTCTTCCTCTCGGACAAGGTACCTAGGAACCTTCATCATGACCACCATCTCCTTGCATCTGCTGCCTCTTGCACTTGCTATTGCTGCCTGTTGCTGGCGGTGCTTTCCCTCTGGATGAATTCCATTGAAGGTGCCCTGCTTGAAATAAAACACGTCCCTTCCCCCCAACATACACCACCCCTTCCTGCCATGATCTAGCATAGATTGCAATGATGTGTTGCCCAATTCTCAGAGGTTTTCTTCTGCACCCAATTTTTCTATGTGCATGCCCTCTTTATCTTGGACTCACAAACAAATCTGGGAAGATTTTTTAAAGTGAGGTCCACAGATCTCTTGTGTCCACATCCCTTGGAGTGTTTTGTCAAATGCAGTTTCCTCTGGTACAACCAAGACCTCCCTGGACTCCAGGAACAGGATTATGGTGGGAGACAGGGTCTGCACATTGAACAACTTCCTAACAATTTTTGTGTCCTCTCAAGTTTGAAAAGCACTGCTCTGTGTGTGCTAGCTGATGTCCAATATCACAGACAGATGCGTGACTGTCTCCCCAGTCCCCTCTTTTCTAGCACATTTCCTAGTACATCTCTTACTACAGATGTTTTTGATATTTGAACTGAGGAAAATGGAAAATTGGGGTGAAGATGTCAAGAAAGGGGCAGAGGTGGTGTCTACAGTGGACTGCCATTAGCCTACAGAATATTGTGGGTAAAACTGTATTTGTTTGGACATTCTAAAATTCAAAATTTCCAATTTTTTTGGCTGAGCTGCTAGGCAAGGGACTGAAGGAAGGAAGTACTACCCTAGACAGTGAATTATGAGGGGTACCCACTCTTTAAACCTAGAAAGGTGACACCTAAGGTCCTATGCATGGTCTCTGTGTGACTCCCCAGGGCATGTCCTCTCCCTGGCCCTGCTGAAAGGAGGTGTCTTGGGAGTACACCATGAAGTCCACCACCCATTCCTGGAAATGTTCCAATTCAAGTATCAAAGAGAAACTTGGCAAAGTTTCAGCTCCAAACTCAGTCTACAAAATACACGTATAGGTGTGTAACCTCGGACAAACCACTTCACCTCTCTTGTGCCACTTTCCTCATTTGTAAAGTGTAGCAAAATAATAACCTAAGTTTATCAGAGCTGAAGGAGAAGTTCACATGAAATCAGCACATACTAGGTACAAAACTCATTTGTTAGTTCAGAATAGTGACAAAGGTTTCAGGTATATTCAATGGTGTTCTGATTTTTTATTTTTTTAAAGAACGAAAACCACACACACACACACACACACACACACACACACACACAGTTCCAGGAAATATTGCAAAATGATTTTTAAAAAAAAACTGTTTCAAATCTTCCCCCACAAAAATATCTGCTTTTCAAAAACTGTAAATGTTAGGCAACCCTAAAATTTGTCCAGCATGCCTTTCTTTTGGATCTTCTGATCTTTTTTCCTCCTTCTAAGTAGAGAACTTGATGACTTAGACATTAGCCACTAAAAGCAGATTGAATGTATTAGTAAACTCTGAGTCAAAACTGACGATACCAGAAAAATGTTCGCTTCTACTTAAGATTTACATAATATTGGTCCATTCTATAGTACTGTGTTCAGTATTATAACAGGACTTTGGGTATGCTTTTGTTGACAGATATTTCCCAGACTTTTCAAAACCAAAAGGTTCTTTTCTTATCATTGTCTTCCTTCTTCTTCATGCATTCATTAATATTTTGGGTTTTTATGATTCCACTATTGTGATGTTAAGGGGGAAATTCTTCAGTTAACTTTCTCGTCTAAGAAATCTTAAAGCTTAACTACACAAGAATGAAGGAGGCCAGGAAGCTTGCTTCTGAACAAAAGAGAGAGTTGTCACATTTTTCTTCATGATAATAGTTTCATCTACTTATTAGTCTACTTATAACCCAAGTGGTTCTAGATAAATGTAGGTCTACATACTCCTCAGCATGAAGCTAACCCTGGTTATCAAAGATTTAGCTCAAAGTAATATGGAGAGAGAGAGAGAGAGAGAGAGAGAGAGAGAGAGAGAGAGAGAGAGAGAGGACTAGCCTAGGATGACTCCTGAGATGGGAGAGAGTGAGAAAATGACCCAGCTGTGTTGGCTAAGCAGGGGACAAGCATGTGATGTAGCAATACAAGGTCTCCATCTGCACAATTAGTAGACAGCAGGGAGTTCTCACAGCGTCTTTGGGAACTCACTGGTGAGTGAAACAGAAATGAGGAGCCCTTGGCAAGTACTGAAGAGACTCCCCTATTTAGGGATTCAGGCTGTCAACATCTGAGTCCCAGCCATTGGAGTGGGATTCGGGTTAGGCTTTTGGGCACTGAGGGGGTGAGTAGAAGAAGCAAGATGCTGTCTGTGTGGTTACTAGAAAAGGAAACTGGACTAGTGGACCAAGGCCTATTTATCAGACATAGATAAACTGGGGTGAAGAATGGAGGCTGAGACTCAAAAATGGTGTAGAAGTCCAGTTGTTAGAATTGGAATGTGACATTTAAGTCAGACCATTGGCAAGCATGATCAGGAGTCACGTCCACAGAATGAGAGCCCCAGGCTGGCTCATTACCCTCATCACATGCTACCTGTGGCCCTAGGAACTGGTGCAACCTGAGCATATCAGTGTAACATCGGTGAATGACTCCGAAAATGGGGAGGAGGAGGCAAAGGAGAGAGTCTAGAATCAGTCTGCATCTGATGGGGTAAAGGGCAGAAAGCTTGGGAATTTTTACTTCAAGACCTTCAGATTTCTATTGAGGTGTCTAAGTTGGAGTCGTGGTCTTTAACTACTACAAGTCAAATACACCTTTAGCCAAACCAAAGAAGGGGGGAAGGGAAGAGAAAGCCTGTTGGCATACGTTATGAGAGTTTGTGTTATATAATGACGTGGTTGCTCCTGCATTTCAGGGTTGGCTGGAAGGCTGTGTGAGTCTGCTCAGAAATGGTGCCAAGCACAATATTCCAGATAAAAATGGCCGTTTGCCACTGCATGCTGCCACTGCAGAGCCAGATGTGAGGTAAGCAGCCAGGTTCAGAGGACACACAAGTTGGGAGGGATCCAACTTGCCTTAGAAACTCATCTAATCATCTAATCCCTCTATCCACTCTAGCTGATAATAAAAAAACCCATCCTTTTTTTTTTTTTTTTTTTTTTAAGTTGCAACAGACAAGGGCGCAACAAAATACCCTGGAATAATCTTCAATTCTAATTTTATTCTTTCCCCTCCTCCTCTGTTAAAACCTTTTGTTCCTAGATTTTGATTTAAGAAGATATTGCTATTTGACATCATTAGAATTCATGTTTTTATTCATTCAAAATTAGTCAGGCAATTATTAATTGAAAAACTATTTACTGAGCACTTATTATGGACCAAAGATGGCTCTAGTCCCTCACAGACCCATAGGAGGCAAGACAGAGTCTCTGACTTTCCAGAGCCGACAGTCTATTAAAGGAATTCATTGGCATACTGATAAACAAAGGAATGAAATAATACCTAATAATGAAAGAAATGAGATAATTTCTAATAATGACAAGTGCTTTGAAGGAAGTCAAGCAGGGTAAATGAGCTCGGACTGAGCAGAAGCTTAACGTCCAAACCGAGTCTAGTGCATGTACAGCAGTTGTAAGGAAGCAATGAAGCCTGAGACAGGGAGGCCAGGGGGCTAGAAGGAAGACCAGAAGTGTGTGTTCCTGGAAGCCAGATGAAGAGACAGACTTCGAAGAAAGGGGATGGTGAAAAAGGCCACATTAAGACACCAAGGAAAAAGGTTTGTCTGGACCAGAGGTAGCTTCTTCATTCCTCTGTGTCTAATTGGCTTCTGTCCCCATTCTTTTGAAAGGCCCCCACAGCCACTGGCAACAGCATTTCCTACTAGGGAATAGTAACATTGTGAGCTCTTCCTTCGCCTCTGCTGTACGAAACATGCCTCTGACAGGAATCTAGCATTCCCCAGTCCTCAGCCACAGGCCAACACCACAGCCACAGGGAGTGTATTCTGCATACCTCATCCTCCACACCAGTGTCCAGAACCAAAACCTAAAGCTCTGCAGAGCTGCAGAGAACCAGGCCTTAACCTTCCAGGCTGAGAGACAACAAGGTTCTTCATTTCAATAACTTTAACAGGAATGTAAAAAGGGCCTGGGAATTTCCAGGACTATCCCCAAGACTTGCCTGTTATTATCTTGGACTATATCCAGAAACAACAGAAACTAGGATTTACCCCAAACCCAACAAAGCAAGGAAATTTAGAGAAGAAATAGCAAGCCCAGACAGCCAACAATCAATAAATATCCAATGTAAGGAAGGGGATGACTCTGTTTTGATTAATTTAGGGGAAAAAGATAAAAACAAGAGGGCCTTTTTAAGACAACCCACACAAATATTTAGTCACAAAATTATACTGTTTTTCCAAGCATGGTCTTTAGAAAATAAGCTTAAGATCTACCTTTTAATATGATTTTGCCTTAATTTACCGCACTTACATGCCTTTCTCAGAATTATCACTTAAAATAGACTAAAATCTATTAACTATTTCTAGAAGAAAAATGCCTACTTAATAGTACAGCTATTGTAACAAAACCCAAAACTTCAACCTTTTAACACTATGAAAATTTATTTCTCTTCTTGGACGTGCAATGGCTCTGTGTGGATGCTCTTGGGTGGTGGGTTGTTTCCCTCCACATGAAGATCAGGGAGCCAAGCCTCCCCGTCACCTGGCTCCGCATCCTCTAAGATTGCAGAACACTCTCCTCTCAGTCTTCTGTGAGTGGGAAAGAGGAGTAAGGAGAAGCCTCATTTATTGCTGCAAAACCTTTAGCTGCAAATGACACAATTCACTTCTTTTCACATTTTACTATGAAGAACAAGTCATTCAAACGTACCTGGGTGTAATGAGCTTCAGGGAATGCAGTGCCTAGCCAGGAACTGACTTTCCATCTGTAATTCTCATCTATGAAGGGGTACATGGGTTTTGGTGACAAGTTAGCTGACTCTGCCATCACCCCATTGCACATGAGGGCTGAACTAAGCCTGGTCTGTCAAAATCATATTTGAGGTTAATTAGGCCAATCAATCAGGTTCATCCTCTGCAATCACTGCAGTAATCATCCAAGTCCACTTCCTCTTTGGTGGACCTCTGTGTCTATTTCTTACAATGACCAAAATTGCCTCTGGAAACTCCAAGATTTACATTTATATTGCTATAACTGGGAAAGCAGAATTGCAGCTTCCCCTTCTCTTATATCTAATGACACAGCCACCACTCTTGGATGAATTGAAGAAAAACAAAAATTCCCCATGTGCTGATGACATGGTTATATTGTCCTAAAGGGACACTTGGTTCTGAAAGATAAAATCCAGCTTTAGTTATGATACTACCAGCTGCCTTAACTAATAAAACCCAGAAGTTGAGATTAACTATTCCAAAACCAAAATCGTTATTTCTAATAACTGTTCTCCAAAAATTAATTGGGTTAAACTCTAACAACCCCTATAGCAAATCAACCAGTTAAATTACCTACAGAACATTTGGAAACCACCTTGCCTTAAAGGAATTGCATTGCTAAAAATTACATATTTTATGGTAGTTTTGTTGAGAAATTTTATGGTCATGGCAGGTTTTAATAACATTTGCATTAAATGTTTAAAGTAGAAAGTACCCAAGCCATCCTCTCTGCAGAGCTGGCTATAGTCACCATTTGAGTATCAGCATAAACTTAGAATTGTTTTCTGAGAAAAAAAAAAAAGAAATGGTACAGGACTGGGGTTGTAACTCAATGGAAGAGCACTTACCTAGCATGTGTGAGGCACTAGGTTCAATTCTCAGTACCACATACAAATTAAAAAAAAAAAAAAGGTTCACCAACAACTAAAATTATATACTAAAAAATAAAAGAAGAAATGGTTCAGCTTGTAGGTACTTCATAATCCTACAACCAAAATGAGGGAGGCAGAAACCTTCCATTAGGTCAAGTGAGTCTGCATGACCTTAGGCCATCTTGGCTGACCACTTAAGTGTACAAGTCTGTACTTAATTTATGACAATAAGGAGGACGTAGAGAAAGATGACTGGTTAATACCATGCCATGAGCAAAATTTTAAGTGCTTTCTATATTCTTCCTCATTTGATCTTTACCACTCCTCGATGCAGTAGGAAACATTTCTATGAGGAAACTGAGGCAGGCACAGGAAAGCTAATGAATTGCTCACTGCATGTGTGAAGATAACCTGCCCAATGGGTATGCTGTGCTCCTGGGACTTGTTACTATGGAACTTGTAGAATTTATTATGACCATATTTTGCCATAAGCACTTGGCCTTATAAGAAACAGCCTTACTGGCTCATTGTCAGGACATATTTTATTCATTACAGCATCTGAAAAATCCTATACAAGAAACCACAAGGAAAAAGTATTCTACTAAAGGAGGAATTGATGTGCTTCTCCAGAGAAATTATTTTTATTATATGGACACTGAATTATGATTGTGTTTTTTTTCTATGTTTAGAATATTGAAACCCCAATTTGAGTTTCACCCCTGGCTATAGGACTATAGATTACGTCTTTATTCTGCCCTTGTTTTCTTTTTGTCTTCTTTCTTCACTTTTCTTGTATTACTCCATGTAACTGAAAGCCACTTAAAAGCTCATTGGGTTGAGGTCAAGGGTGACCGGGAGTCAGACATTCCTCTCTTGCCAATCATTTTATCCTGAGGGATTTAATGTATCATGGCTAAACTAGCTTTATTTTCTAGAAAGTAGGCAGAATGTAACCCTTACCTTATAGGAAACCAGGGAGAAGTAACTCAGAAAAAGGTACAGAAACAGCTGAACACAGCCCCCAGTACACTGCCGTGTTCAGAAAGTATTGGTGATGATGAGAAGGGTGATGATATTGATGATATGAATGACAATAATCATGATGAAGATGATGATGATGATGATGATAATGGAAAGAAATAAATACCACAGATCATCAGTAAAGAATGGAACCCTTTTAACTGCCACTCTACCGGCTCCTACCCTGACCTTCACCTTGGACTTTCACATGGTCCACAAAAAAATATGTACCTATACATAGATCTGTGTACATGCAGTCCCACATCCCAGTGGTATGCACACACATCGACTGCAAGAGATGTTGGAGTATTGTCTTGCCCTGGGGACATGGACTGCTGCTACATTCCAGACCCAATGAACATTAAATTCAACCATTCAACTCCCCAAAACCTCTTTTGCTTCCTTTGTTAGTGCAGATACATCTGCATTTTCCTCCTAACAGTAAGCGTGCATGGCCTTGTACAAAGTGTTTACATTGGTTTCAAAATCTGCTGACCCTTAGAATTCCAAACAGCAAGCTCCTACTTGGCACTCACTGGAAGTTATTCAAAGGGAAGCTTCAAACCGAAGCTGCCTATAAACAAGTCAGAGGGACACTTCAGTTAGCCCTCTGCCTGCAGAGGTTCTCTGAAGGAAACAACCCTGTCCTAAACCAATCAGTCCCGTCCATATCCTTAGCTGAATTCCACTGCAATGGAGATTGAAGCAGATACAGGGATAAGTGGTTTATAATTATGACAAGAAGGCACATTGGGTTGATAAAAGCAAAAGAGCACAGGTTTCAGATCATAAGTCCCCTTGCTGCTTTGGACACTCTGCTTTCTCAGCAGGTCCAAGTTTTTTGCCTTTCAGCTCCCCAGGACTTTTCTTGCTCCCTTGGCTGGGACATTCAGAGGGCGCCTGTGTGAAAGAGGGGGCATGATCATTAAGACAAAGCTCCAAAGAGAACAGAGTTGTGTTTGTACAATGCTACACATGTTAGTGTTGGAAGGCAAGCAGCAATTTCCTCTGAAAGCAGCCACAGGATTCTCTGAAGGCCTTTTTCATGGTCTCTATGGTAACCAGCAGGTTCTACCACCTCCCTCGCCCCTCCCCCAGCTCCAGCAGCTCTGCCTCTTTTCAACACTCTTGACTACAGCCAGAGGGAGGAAGGAAATCATTTCCTTGGGGTCCTGTTCTCTAGTTACCAAGTGATGTGCCCTAACCTGCGGCAGACCAGACGTTTCACTATAGCATGCTCTCACATCCTGCTTCAGGGGCCGGAAGGGGAGACCACTGGCATAAAAACCATTTCCCCCAATCATCCCTGGGCTAGCTAGCACCAGGGAGCCTTAGAGGCTGGGAAAACAGAAACTTTTACAGAAGTAATTGCCCATAGGATGCTTCTAGCTGATACCCTTACCCCTATGAATTACCTAATGGTGACCAGGGAGGACCTAGAAAAGACAAGCTAAGAGCTTTTAAAAATAGTAATCATTATAATAGAATATACAGTGGCACATAAAAGCTATTCTAAGTGCTTTTCATAACTTAAGTCATAGCAAATTTTTAGGCATTGATACTATTTTATAGATAAGAAAATGTAGTTTTTCTCCATTTTTGCAGATAAGAAAATGTGGGCCTTAAGAGTTTGCCCAAGGTCCTTGACGGTTGGCAGGGACTAAAGATTCTGACAGGCAGGTTAATCTGGCCCCACCTCTATGCTCTTGTCACTCACATACTGAAGATCAAGCCTACTGTCTTAGAGATCAAGAGCAGGTCGGAGTTTGAAGTGGTGCTAATGAGAGTTATGGGCAAAAATACTCCTGGTCACCATAGCACAAAATGGGAGCTCTGGGAAAACAAGACAAAGAGGTCTACAAGCTGTCTGGTAATTACAATTGATGTGAGCAAGTTCTTGCAGATTACCTTCATAACACAGAATAGCAAGGAAGCACCACACCTAGCTTCTGGTTCAGGCGGGATCACCAAGGCATCCTGTAGTGGCCTTAACAAGTTATGTGGGCCTCAAATTCTTTGCTTTCATAAAGTAAGTAAGAGAGAGAGAGAGAGAGAGAGAGAGAGAGAGAGAGAGAGAGAGAGAGACTTCCTCAGTAAATTTGTGTCAAGCTTTAAAGATCAATGAGTTTTAGAGACTTGGACATCAGATGGAGCCAGGCAACACAGATTGGCATATATCAATCAGGGTCATGGCAGTGAAGACAGGGGATGTTGAAAGATGGCAACTGAGGAATGTCCAATGAAAGACTATTTAACAATAACCACAAGAGATGATAAGGTAACTCCTCATTCACCTCACTTCCCCCCAAAAAGCAGGAAAATGTCTCAACAACCATGACCCAAAGGGGCAAGGTAAGGCTCTAAGGGACCCTCTTAGAGGTGTGGCTGTGGGAGAGGACTTTGATAGTGGAAAGCAACCATCGCCAGTAGGGGAGTGGCTTTCTCCCCCTGCAAGTGCTTCCACTATGAAACCTAATGGGAATTCAGAGGTGAGAGGACCTGGATGATGCCATCCTTCAAGGTCAGCCTCAGAACAGGTCATTGCAGAGTGGAGAATGAATTTGAGAGGCAAAAAAAGAAACATCCAGGTAGAGGGTTCATCCCACAACCTTTGGAGGCCCACCCAAATATGACAAGAGATCTTGCTCTGCTCACCCTCATTCTAATCTAGAGAGAGCTTGTCCCCTCAATAATATCGCTCTGTGCTGGAGGAACCAGGAAGATCCTGTCTGGCTATGGGTAAAATCAGTCTGCTTGGGATTAGTGGAGGATAACCATCCTGGACCACAGATCATCTCCTACCTTCCCCTCCTACCTCCCCCAGTACTTCAGACCAGTGGGCCCTGAGATTAAGTAATGGCGAGAGAGAGAGAGAGAGAGAGAGAGAGAGAGAGAGAGAGAGAGAGAGAGAATGGAGATTGTTACCAGTTAAGCCCTGGCCCCCATGCATAAGCAGCCATATGGGATCATTCCACCTGTGTGTGGCTCTATTCTCTACACTCCTGATGTTATGCCCTCTGTTGTACACATGAGGATACAGAAGCTCAGAGGTCACTCAACAGTGAGGCCCAGAATTAAATCTCATAGCCTCTTGGCTCCCCACAAATGACCAGGATTAGACTAGATTCCAACTATAGACTTCCTGACTATTTCACCCCCACAACAAATAACAAGAATTCCATTCCCATTTATCACATTTACTGTGAAGGCAATATGATTAGTCCATCTTTTTTCTATTGTGAGTAGCAATTTAATAGGTAGGTCTTTAGATGTCATCTAAGATGAGAGACAATAAAAATTGGATCGAGGATGAGACTAAACAGGGCTGGGTATATAGCTCAGTTGGTAGAGTCCTTGCCTTGCATGCACAAGGCCCTGGGTTTGATCCCCAGCACCAAAGAAAAGAAAAAAAAAAGGAAAAAATAGAAAGAGACTTAACAATTTTACTTTTCAAAAATAATTTTTTCAAAATAACTTTGAATATCTTTTATAGGCTACCCATACATTATTCTTCATCCTCATGATGGTGTCCATTGATTAACTCATTCAGTACCTTTCTCAAGGGTTTCTAAACTTGAATGTTCCCAGAATATTCTGAATCACTTTTWAATTTTTATTATTATTTTTTAAATYTTATTTTTTTTTAAGCTRCACATGACATTATAATGATCTGGGCAATCTGAACCACTTTTTTAAACTGTAGAAGCTAAACTTCTCCCAGATCTATGGGGTTAGAAACCCTGTGTATAGAGTCCAGGCATCTGTGGTTTTAAAAATTTCCCCTGGTTATTCTGAAACAGGCCAAAGCTCAAACTTCAAGGGTTAAGATTTCCAGAAATAACACTTTCTGTTTTCCAGGCATTCTCTTGATGCTTTATGCATATTAACTCATGTACTCCTCACACTGAGCTGTAAAATGGGTATTTATTGCCCCCTCATCACAGAGGAAGAAGCCTATGCAAAGAAGTTAATAACTTGCCTGGAGTCACTGAGCTAAATAGTGGCAGGGTTCAGGAAGGGGCAAACTAAATGCTGACTATCTCCCAGCATAATCTATGCATCTAAAAAGCATGACATATAGGTAGCCAGGAGTGAAGCAGTTTTGAAAGTCCTGGGTGAATATATGTGAAATTAATAGAGTAAGCACTGGATGATTTGGGTTCTTGAAGTGCATGCCTAGGTGACATAAAGTGGGCCTGGGGAATAAGTTGAACCTGAAGACTCATCTTGTCCATCGCCTTCCAAGGATACCAAATTGGGAGAAGGTGGGAGAAGAAGGGGGATTCTTCTCAGGTATCTTCTTACTTACTACACTGCTTTCTCTTCTCAGATAAGTGGAAAGACCTTCATCTTCATTTGTAGACCTGCAACTGTCTATATGTCTAATGTCATGTTTTTATACCAATTCTAAGAGCCCTGAGAATCTTCTCTTGAGCCCCTTCTGTTTTCCCTTACAGACTCTTGACAGTCCTGCTGCAGCAGTCCAACCCCAGTGAGATCAATCACCAGGACAATGAGGTGAGTCACCTTCAGGCCACAGGTGGCCCATTTGCTTGCCAGAGTGGAGGGAAGGGCTCTTCTGAACCCTGGTTCTTCCTCTCACAAAGGAGGAAATGGAGCACATTTTTGTGTTCCTACTCTGAAAGGGTAGGTGTCTCCATTGTTAATTCTCAGGAGGAAATGTGGGTGTGAGTAGTTCTAACAGGGAAGGGCTTTATTGCATTAAGTACATTAGCATTAATCATATGACTGAAATTTTGTAATTTCCCTCTGGACATTGAGAAATAAATACTGCTCTCTCTCCTGTCTTCTCGAGTCCCTGAAACATAGATGACAAATGATGGCTCCAGATGTGTTCTCTCTGAGCAAAAGAGGACAGAGAGTGAGTCATTCCAGGCTACCTACTCCAGAGGCCACATAATTAATCTCAGTGATCTTGCAAAGGCAATATCATGGAAAGCTTCCCAAAAGTGGGATGCCCGCACCCCTCTGCCCTTGAGTAAAGTTCATAAGAGAAGGTGGGTCGGACTCTACATAGCTGCCCTGGAATAGCTTAGGTCTTGTTATGTATCCGTAACACTTTTAAAAAGCAGCATTGATTTTCACTAGTTGGCCCAATTTAACAAGCTTCTTAAAACCAATTTAAATACCTGGTGTTTGGTGGAATTTCTTTATAAATTTGTGCTTGGTTTGGCTGCACTTTCCCCAAGAAGTTCTGGTAGTATTAAGAAGGCTTTAAAACATTAAAAATGCATTTAAACAAGGTGCCACACTACATTGTTTTTCAAGAAAGCCAGCTGGCCAGACAATAGGGTGGGGGTGGAGCCCCCCAAGAGTTTCCTCGTGCACTGGACCTCCATCTGTCTTGAGCCTTTTGGTGAAAGGCCTCCTCCTGACCAGCATTAATGACCACAGCAAAAAGTCCCTGCTTGCAGCTTGGGTCTGAGGTTGGATGCCTCCCTGTCTCGGATCACACAACGCTTTCACTCCCCAAATGTTCAGTGGTTTGAAGCCAAACCTCAGAGGACAGAAGATTGCACTGTTTTAAACTTCTGCTTTAAAAATGAGAACCGGGGATGAGACAGTCCCCCTGATCACTCTCTGCCCATGGTATGAAAGCAGGACACTTGAGTGGTCAGCAGATCGGGAACTTCTATATCTGAGGCCAGTTACCAAACACTTCCTCCACCTCCAGTCCTGGCTGTCACCCGCCTACCATGATTCTTATTTAGGAAGGTGACCAGTCATCCATACCCTAAAGCTAAAGTCCACTTACAGACTTCAACACTGTCCACCCCTCAGTTGAACTACGGCCCCTCAGCAAGGCACAGTTCTAATTTCTCCCCACCCTGGGAGGCTCTAGGCTGGTGAACAATGATAGCAGAAGCAGATCTCTTGAAGAATACTCATTGTAATACCTTGCAGATAAAAGGTGGTAAAGTCCTTGATTTTTCCTCATGCAAAGTGGCCTCTGTGAAAAAGACTCCTCCTGCTATTACACCAGCATTTGGACCCCCGGGTTTTAAGCTCAGAGAGCAGCAGCCTCAAAAGAAACACTTTCTTTTCGATGTCACAGCTTCCTCTTCAGACTTTGTCACAGCAGGTCTGAAACCCATCTAAAACCAAGTGTTAATGCTTGCCTGTGTTTTTCATAATATTTATGTATTTAATACACAGTTATCCCTCTGTATCCATGGGGGATTGGTTCCTGGACCCCCTTATGATTCCAAAACCTAAAGATGCTCAAATCCCTTATATTGAATGGTGTAGGCAGGTGCAGTGGCACATAGTTATAAACCCAACAACTCTGTAATTTGAGGCAGGAGGATTGCAAAGTGGAGGTTGCATCACAATTTTGCATCCTTTGAAATAAAAAATAAAAAGGGACTTCGGACTTAGCTCAACAGTAACATGCTTCTAAATTTAATCCCAGGACCGCTAAATAAATAAATAAAGTCAAATAAAATAAATAAAAGGATGTAGTATCTGTAAATAACCTATACAACCCCCCATACACTTTAAATCATCTGTTTTGAGCCTTTTGGTAAAAGGCCTTCTCCTGACCAGCATTAATGACCACAGCAAAAAGCCCCTGCTTGCAGCCTGGGTCTGAGGTTGGACGCCTCCCTGTCTCGGATCACACAACACTTTCACTCCCCTCTAGATGACTTATAAGATCTAAAACAATGTAAATGCTATGTAAATAGTTGATATACGTTTAAGGAATAATAATAAGAAAAAGTCTGTACATGTTTAGCACTGACACAATTTTGTTTCCCAAATATTTTCTAACAGCAGTTGATTGAACCCATAGATATGAAGGCCACAGATATGGAGAAAGAGATGCATGTGTACACAGACATGTACTCATATGTGTGTATATTACATATATGCATATATATATGTATATGTAGTTGCTAATATGAGCCAATTAGTACATATTTGCAAAGGTGGAAGGGGGAGATGATTAAGAAGTAGAAAGAACACAGCTGAGGCTTTTCATTACTTTCATTTCATATTTCTCTTCTCAACGTTTTGAACAAACACTCTTCTTCCAATCAGTTTTCAATGAGCTCCAAGTACGAGGTAACTTACAAATTGTATATGGGGGGGATGCAGGGATAACATTTAAAACAGATAGACCCACCCTACTTCTGCTAAACACCCAGAAGCAAGAACAACAAGGCCAGAAGCAACGAGGAAGAGGGTAAGTTAGTGCTGGTGCCGCATTCCAGTTTCCTGGTGACAAGAGCACCGAGCAGTCATGGCATCTTCCAAGTTTAAAGTAGTTATTTTCCAGAAATGACTGAAGGAACACAAGCTTATCAACATAAGGGTTAAGGGCTAAATAATCAATTATTAGAAATCTGACATGATCAACAGATTATTAGATTAAAAACTGAAATTGAAGAATGGAGAGACAAAAAGAGAAAGAAAAAATAATTCCTGAAACCATCCTGTGACTGCTCACATAAAACGAAACTTGATGCCATTTTATTTCAGGGTAGTGAATGTCACTTTAGAGGCCGTCCTGATCTGAACTCAATGACTATTTTTTTTTCCATACCCACCCTTGCTTTTTAAAAATTTAAATATTATTACCAGTAATGCTAGAAAGTCCTTGATTACTTCTACCTGCCACCTTTGCCCTCTGGTAGGCACTGTCTGATATCTCTTTCCCAATCTTTTATATATATTTACAGAAACAATGGAGTATCGCATAAAAGGTATCACACTCTCTGTTGTTCTACAACCTTGATTTTTTTTTAACTTAAGAATATATCTAGGGGCTGGGGTTATGGCTCAGCGGTAGATCACTCGCCTAGCAAGTGTGAGGCCCTGGGTTCCATCCTCAGCACCACATAAAAATAACTAAATAAAGATATTATGTCCAACTATAACTAAGAAATAAATAAATAAAAAGAATATATCTAAGTCGTGAGATTGAGACATGAGGATTGCAAGTTCAAAGCCAGCCTCAGCAATGGCAAGGCGCTAAGCAACTCAGTGAGATTCTGTCTCTAAATAAAATACAAAAAAGGGCTGAAGATGTGGCTCAGTGGCCAAGTACCCTGAGTTCAATCCCTGGTACCTCCCCCCAAAAAAGAATGTCTTAGAACTCCATCCATGTTAATAGGTAGAGCCTTTTAATGGTTTTGCGGTGGTCCATACTACAAAATGCTTCTGTTTAGCCATTCCCCTGTGAATGAATATTGAGGTTGTCTCCCATTTTTCACCATCATAAACACTATTAGACATCTCCTTGAGTACCTTATGAAAGTATTTCTCTAGAATCGTCAGGTAGCAGAGAGTGTACGTTTCTATTTTATTACACGCTGCCTAGTTATTCCCCCACATAGCTGCATCAGTTGATAGTTCCACAAGCAGTACCCTTTTCAGTTCATCACTGGATTTTCTTGTTTACTTGCACCATCCTGGTTAATGAGTTTGCACCTCATTTCATTGGTATAATTGTCTGTTTTATATTTTCTTTTCAGACTTGCCTGTTCACATCCTTTGTCAATGAACCTATTGGATTATTCTTCATTTTCTTATAGATTCACAGGAGTTTTATTTTATAATCAAAATAGTAATCCTTTGCCTACAGTTGAGTTTAAAATATTTTTTCACAGTCTGTTCCTTACTTTGGAACTGTTCATAGTCTTTTCTTCTAGAGAAATTTTAAAATATGATGTAATCAAAATGATCATTTTTTTCTGTTACTGCTTTTGCTCTTGGTGTCTTCTTAAAGAATGCCTTCCCTACCCCTGAGAACTTAATTACAGTAAATGCTAAATTTTCTTTTAGTTTGTTACAAGATTTTTAAAAAAATTGTGCTTTCCTTTCCGAACGCTTTATTCTGTTCCGATGATCTGTTTGCTTTTCTTGTTTCATTAACCACATTGCTTAATTGTGAAGTGACTTCTTTACATGCTATCCAACCACAATGCAGAGTTTAACACTGTAGGAAAGGTGGGATGGGTCAGATTGTCCTTTGTACTTTTGTTCTCATCAGGACCTCATGAGAATCATGTTGCAGCTAACTGTAGCTGCAACATAGCCTGTTGCAGCTACAGTTAGCAAATCTCTAAACAACTGAAGCCTAACCTCCTCTGCTCTTATTTTAGCTTTGACAGGAAGAGTACCGCATCAAGAGGGGCTCTAAGAGTTGGGAACATAAGTCAGTGGTAGAGCACTTGCCTAGTGTATGAGCAGCCCTGAATTCAAGCCCTAATACTGGGTGACAGAGGGAGAAAAATAAAAAAAAACTAAAGTGACTCCGAGCTGTTAGCATCTGAGTTAGAACTTTGAATGCATTTATCTAGAGAAGTGCCATTATACATAGTATTTATAATATATTGTTGATTCCATGCACATTCTTCTGTTAGTAAATTTTTATGAGCAGCCTGACAATCCCAACTTCAATTACAACAGCACTCTGAGAAAATAAGTCCAAGTTGCAAAACCAGATGTGAGCTTTTGGACATAATCTTAGTACCAGTTCCATTTACTACATT